AGCAATCCTGTATTGGCAGGGGGTTGGATTACATGATTCAACTGGCTATGATTGGAGGAAGTTATGCTTGTAAAGCACTCTGTTGCTAAGGTGTTAGATGAATAAAGTATAATAATAATGAAAAATTTGTTTTAAATTTTAAGAAACTAGAGATGCAGAATTATTATTTATATAGCATTAGGGTTGTAACAGGTATTAGACTAAGACAAGCTCTGTGCCCCCATAGAGTTCACAATCTAAAATATACAACAGCATATCTACAAAAAAGTTATAGGGCCAGACCCTTAACTTGCAAGAGTCAGACAAAGCTTCATTGAAGTCAGTAGTGCTAGGCCAATTTACTGCAGCTGAGGATCTTGCCCACTGCAAAATATTTCAAACATCTCCAGAAATAAACTATCATTTGGGGTCCAATAATGTTAATGCTTTCTTTTCAAAGTTTAAACTATTTTAGTAATTGCAATACAAATGCGTATTATGTAACTATAAAGCAGGGGTGGGCAAACTTTTTGAGCCGAGGGCCACATCTGGGTGGGGAAATTGTATGCAGGGCCGGGGCAGGGGGTTGGGGTGCGGGAGGGAGGGGGTGCGGTGTGCAGGAAGAGGCTCAGGGCAAGGGATTGGGGCAGAGGAGGGGTGTGGGGTGCATGAGAGGGCTCAGGGAAAGGGGTTGGGGTGCAGGAGGGGTGCGGAGTGCAGGAGGGGGCTCAGGGCAGGGGTGCAGACTGCGGAAGGGGACTTAGGGCAGGTGGGTGGGGTGCAGGAGGGGTGCAGCAAGGGGCTCAGGGCAGGAGGTTGGGGTGCAGGAAGGGTGCACCGGGGGCTCAGGTGCACAGGGTGCAGCAGGGAGCTCAGGGCAGGGAGTTGGGGTTCAGGAGGGGTGCGAGGTGTAGGCAGGGGGCTTAGCGCAGGGAGTTGGGGGGTGGGGTGGAGAAGGGATTCGGGCTCCGGCCCGACGCTGCGGGGGGCAATCCCGCGGACTGGATCCAAAGCCCTAAGGGGCTGGATCCAGCCCGCAGGCCGTAGTTTGCCCACCCCTGCTATAAAGCATTATATGCACTAAGGGTCAAATTCCCCCTTCTGATTCACACAGTAGGTTTAGATTCCACTATCCTATTATCCTCTATGCATGGTGGAGTCAAGGTAAGTCCTGTGGATAGTAGAAGAGAATTTTGCCCCAAAGAAAGTGCTCATATGAATAAGTGATTACCACCAAACCTTTTCACAGGATTAGGCAGAATTTTCTGAAATACCTTATTCTGCCCCCAGAGGCAGTTAATTGTTTTCCCAAAAGGCCAGGTGGTTCTGATCCAAAGTTTGGAAGTGGGTCCTTCTCTCATTCAAACATATTTAGGTAGCAATGTAAAATTTACCTCAGAAGCAGGTAACTGCACCTCTTTCCTTCAATAGTTTGTTTTGCTCTCCAGGCCACATCATCTAGTCCCTTCCTTTCACCCATCTTTGTTTCCCCCCTTTCTCCCCCATAAAAATTTGGATTATATATTATCTTTTTTCATTTGAACTTTCCATTTGCCTTTCCCATTCTTTTTGTTTAGTATATAAAAGGAACATCCTCTTGGAGCACAGCATCATGCAGCCAAGTGCTTTGCAAACTTCCCTGTTGTGGATGACATGCACATTTCTCCTTTGCTATTACAGGCCTGAGCCCCTGCATAGCTCTGCCATTGCAGCACATTAACCCACCTGTAGTATATACCCTTACTATTCAAGCCAAATCTCTCCTTTGCAGGGAGTAGCAATCCTGCCATGATGATAATGAGATAACAGGCTTAGCCCACCCAAACTCACATGTAATCTAACCCAGATTTGAGAAAAGGATATTTAAAAGATGAAGGCTACCATGCAGTTACCCTACCCATTGCCCCTCCCCACCTTAATTATATCTCTAAGAGCATGGTGTGGAAACAGAGCCTACCTTAGATACAGAATGAGAAACTCTGTGAACCAAAACATAGACTATACAATCTGTCTGTAGGTAAGAGTTACAAACTGAATATTTAATGCTGGTCCTTCCTCCTTCAATTTAGCCAGATTTGATCCAAGTCACTTTCATTGGCTCAGAAAGAAAATAAAGAACAATATGGTGACCGTAACTGGAAATAACAAGTGTTTGTCATGTTTTAAACAGAATTGGATATAGGCACATTCAGAAGCTTGACCTGTTTCTAATGCTGAACTTTAATCACATCAAGGCTGGTTCTCTACAGAATATTGAAGTCAATGGTGGCGATAGGCACAACTGGCACATGCATGCTTTCTGTGCTGCTGTTCTTCAAGGAGTGTTCAGCAGCAGCAGCTGAGCGGTTAACCACAATTTTTTTTTGAAATGGTGGTGTTTCACTGGTACTATTAGCAATGTAGCCAGCCAGGATTTCAGGAGTTTGAATCAAACATAATGCAGGCATGGACGGGAGGGATGGGACGTTGCCCCCCTTCCCTCCTCCCCCAGAACTGCAAACCTTGGGCAGCCATGGAATTTGCCCCCCCCCCCCGCCCTGCCCTCATTGGCCTGACCGGAGCTGCCTCTCCCCCCCCCGAAATATAGAAGTCAAACTACACCTATGAATGCAGGGCACATGTACTAAACTGTTTTATACTTACTCTGCCCCTGAAGTCATTTGTGCCTACGTAAATATCAAGACATATTTGGATGTCTAACTCTACTGCTCAGCATAAGTAATTAGGATCACATTTGATGGCAGTTTTAAATTAAAAACAAATGACTAATTTGAGGAGTATAGGTACAGCTCAAACATACATCACTGATAAAATCAGGCAAGGTGAACCAAGCTTAAACCTGAGGGAACAGAGCACCATCTAGTGTTTTGAATGAGTTAAAATTCAAAGATCAGCTTCAAATTAATCTACACAGAAAAATCGCAGGCAGAGATAGTCATGAAGGAAGAAGTAGTTGTAAACCTAATACCCATCCCACACCTCACCTATGGAGTAGAGGCTTTTTGGGGTCAATTGACAGGAAGTGCTGCACCTGTTTTGAAACATTAAATATCAGCAGCAGACAGAAATAAGGCAGAGTTGCACTGCACCAGAAGCTATTAAGTGAGGAAGTTTAGATGTTTACATGTTATGGGCATTTCCTAGTCTGCTGTGCTGAATGAGGTTTACCTGTTTCCTTGGAATGAGTTTCTCAAGGCAGGAAAGGTTTGAAAACCACAGTGGAAATGGGGCATATTACCTCCACTGTAGATCAGTAGTAAAAGGAAGCTGCAGTCTCTTCATAAGAGGAGCTCTCCACAACTGCACATAGGAACAGGGCATCCGAAGGAACTTTGGTGCCACTGGCGTCCTACACCTCATCAAAGGCAATACAGGTAGTGAACGGGAGTCAATGCAACTTGAACAGCATTAACTCATGCATGGATATGAATGTAGGTCATGTACTGCAGCTGCTCTCCTTACCTCACAACAGAATTGACTTAGAGCAGCAGAGCTTCCAAGGCAATAATCAAACACAGCATAGAGAGGGAAGCTTGCTACAAACTCACTGGTTCCCTGCTCCACCAACCTTGTTCTGCTCCCTTTCCCTTCAGTAGAAGAGAGCATATAAGGCTACATGAGGTGCCTAAACACAAAAGCATTATTCTTAGATTAACTATTTTTACATGTGGAGAAGACTGGAACAATTTGCTTACCTAGCATGTTTTTTGCACCACATTCTAAAAGTTCTACTGCTTTCAACAGAAGGCTATTATTTTTTAAATGGGATAATTAATGCACTGTAGTTACCTGCAGTAATTTGAACTTTGTTTCAGCAATTGTTTCCATTTCACATAGTTGAAGATACATCTCTCACTGTAAATGTAGGAAAATCATACTAGAGCTCCTCATATTATGAAACATATCGAAAAGTTAAGTTGAGGTATTCCACTGAAACCATAACTGGCTTTCTACCCAGGTTCTCTTGAAATGAGGGGAGCAGAAACATACAGAACAGATGCAACGTGGAGGTTCTCGATCATCCTTGGCATAAAAGGCAGCATTTTCTCTTTTTAGAATACAAACCCAGAAGTAGAGTCTAACACATCTAGCACTCTTATTACTCTGGCCACACAAACTAGGGGTACTGTAGATCAGGAAGGGTGTTCACTTCTAGGAGAAAGCTATTCAGGACACCAGCTTGTGCTGGCATTTATTACAAACTAAAATGCTAAACATGCACTATTTGAGAAACAGGCACAGTACAGAACCAGCATCCTCAATCTAGCCCAGAGAAATTTATTGAAATGGGAAATATACCCAATCAGGTAGCTGGCATTTTATAACTCATTATAAATTGCATAGATACCTAGCTCTCAGGCAGTCCTTTTCAACAATAGATCTCAAAGCGCTTTACAAATTTGGTTGGTATCATGATTCGCATTGTACAGATGGGGATTAATGGTCTTGCAGAATCTGCTATGCACTGTGGCTTAAACGAAACCTCAATTTCAGACACAGATGCTATGATTCCCATGTGTCAGTGCTTGCTAGGTTTAAGAGTCTAAAGAAAGCAGGTTCCCATCAGCTACCAGGATCACACTTTCCAAATAGTCTGCAAGACATTGGTGACTACTTATACATATTGGTCAACACAAATGGTTGATGTTCAGAGAACAAATCTTGTCAAAACTGATTTTGGATAATAGTTACTAGGGCTGTCCCAGTGTAAAGCAGAAGACTCTATACTTTAGAAATCATGAACTGTATGTGCGTACACAAGGATACATGTTAAGAGACTAGGCACAAAACAGCCATCTGTGTCTGACGGATACAACAGCGCCCTGTATAAAGTGTCACTACAAGCTGCAACCCTTGCAAATTAGCAGAAACAAAGATGTAATGCAACATAAAAAAATATTAACCTCCTCCATAAAATAACTATAAGTGCACTTAATTCCACAATAAGTTGTAACTTGTAAATACGATGCATGTTGAAGAGGTTATTTTTTATATACCAAAAATTGATGACAAATCAATAATCCAAAAGATAAACCATATTTATTAAAAAATTAGAACTCAGCAATTGCCAAGATTGTAAAACTGAAAAGATTAATTTACTGATTTGACAGACACCTGTATTATAGCATTTAAATTTACTCCTTGAAAACTAAACTGTCTCACACCATCCTTTCATCATTTTTGTCGGTTATTTCCAATGATCCACAAGCCAAGCAGGTGCAAAAAAACAAAAACAAAACACAAACCAACAATATCATATAAAAATATGCACAGAGTTTTGCACAGAAGTGTGATCTGAACAGGAGCCTTATCTCAAAGCGAGCAGCTTTCCAACCAGGGAAAATCCTTTATGGTTTCAGCCAACCCGCAATGGAGGAGCTACGAGCACAACGCCGTCACCTCTGACAAAGAGCATTGGAATATTCCTCTTGGTAGACTAAGTGGAAGAAAAGGAAAGCATGATTTATACAATGCATCTGAGAAATGTAACCAACTTTAAATTCATGTTCAAAGAAATAGATATCAGAAGTTCATAAAAAGCAAGTTTTGAGGAAATACAACTTAGAGTCTTATCCACACACTGAAAAGAGCAATACAGTTAGCAGGCAGGTTTGCTGTAGCTTTTACTTTGATAACAATTTGCCTGAAGTTGCTTTAACTCAAGTCCTGCTCAAATCTAGCTATCAAAAATCAATTTTCATCTGTCAATTTTAAGTTTAACTAGATAAAACATTTAACTTAGAAAGTACTTTTAGTTTTTCTTTTCTCCACCATAAGTACATTTAAACCCTTACTTTATAAATCTCTTCATAGGTTTCCTCATCAATCTCTATTGTTGTCACGGTCTCTTCAACATCACCCAAAATCATATTTAAGTGCTGATCATAAGCCTGTGAGAATGAGACCAGTTTAAATTATTTTCTTTACAATCGGTACCACACACAACAAAAAAAAGTGTTTAAATATTTGTAGATCAAAGCAGTTCAAATACAAACTGATTAAAATGAAAGTACCTTTTCTCAGTGTATTTCAACTTGGACTCATGAATAATCAATTGCTTTGACCTTCAAATATACCAGTATTTTAACATTAGGGTTAATTTACTAGTGCACTAGTGAACACAGTACAACTTTTATTTTTACACATTAATTTTCTTTCAAATAGTTGTTTCAGCTGTCACATACTTTAACCAAATTATAGTAGCACAGGTTTAAGATTACTAAAGTTATACAGGTAGGGCCCTACCAAATTCATGTTCCATTTTGGTCAATTTCATGGTAATATGATTTTAAAAATAATCAATTCATTGCTTTCAAATATTTAAATCTGAAATTTCAGGGTGTTGTAACCGTGGGGGTCTCAACCCAAAATGGGATTGTGGGGGTGGGGTTGCAAGGCTATCGTAGGGGGTCGAAGTATTGCCACCCTTATATCTGCGCTGCTGCCTTTGGAGCTGGGCAGCCGGAAGGCAGCTGCTGGCTGGGTGCCCAGGTCTGAAGGCAATGCCGCCATCAGCAGCAGTGCAGAAGTAAGGGTGGCAATACTGTATCATGCCACCCTCACTTCAGCAGTGCTGCCTTCAGAGCGCGGCTCCCAGCCAGCAGCTGCAGAGCTTCCTGTAGCCGGGGGAGGTTCCCAGAGGTGGGCCTGACCTGGCCCCGGAAGTGGCCCTTGCAGGGGAAGAGGAAGTCCTGTCCCTCCCCAGCCCATCCAGGACTAGCAACTGGAGCCCAGCGCACAGTAGGAAACCCTGGCTGGGGCATCCCCAGCCCTGACTCTACTCAGCTCCAGGCTCAGTGCTCAGGAATTAAAGGGGCCTTGAGCTGGCTGTGTGTGTGCAGGGGTGACCACAGTGCCCTGGGCAGTCCCGCACCCTTTAGGCCGGCCCTGCCCCCGTACCTTGCTACCCTCACTTCTGTGTTGCTGCTGGTGGCAGTGCTGTCTTCAGAACTGGACTCCCGGCCAGCAGCTGCTACTCTCCAGCTGCCCTATGTGAAATCTGGTCTCCACTACAATAGCCAAATTTCACAGGGGAGACCAGATTTCACAGTCCATAACATGTTTTTCATGGCTGTGAATTTGGTAAGACCCTATATATAGGGCCTAATCTTGAAGGTTTCACCTAAGCCAAGATCCCCACAGAAGTAAATGAAAGCTTACAAGAGTAAGGCTGCAGGATTGGCAACCTAGTGTGGGTTTTGTGTGTGCACTGATCACAGATTGGACATAAATGTGTGGTATCTGCTCTATTTGCAGGTTATTTTGCCCTGACACCGTCTCTAAGTGAAGGAACTCTTTCATGAACTATCATTTTCATGTGTATAGAACCTCACAGTGATGACGTGGTGGATGAACAACAGACAAAATGTTGACCCCTCACTTCCACCTTTAACTATCAGAGGGGTAGCCGTGTTAGTCTGGATCTGTAAAAAGCAACAGAGTCCTGTGGCACCTTTAAGACTAACAGATGTATTGGAGCATAAGCTTACGTGGGTGAATGCCCACTTCGTCGGATGCATGTAAACTTATGCTCCAATACATCTGTTAGTCTTAAAGGTGCCACAGGAGACTCTGTTACCTTTAACTATGTAATTCTATTTGAAGTATTCCTTAGAAAATTCAATGAGCTTTTTCCATTAAAAAGCCAGCAAGGTAGAACTCAGCAGTACAATGACATAACGCCTATGTATTCATGAAATAAAAGTTCCTACAGGAAACAGATTTGAAGCTTTCAAGATATCATAAAAGAACATAGGCAAAGGGCTTAATGTGACCTTTTTAATTTAGTCATTTATGAACAGTAAAAATCCACACAATCGTCTCCGGTAGGGATGTAAATACTGTTTAAAAAGTTAACCGTTTAAATGATTTTAAAATATGTCATTTAAACAGTTAACTGTTTAAGTGGCTGGGGCCTATCAGGCCAGCATGGCTCGGGCCGCTCCGGGCAGGGAGTGCGGCTGGGCCTGCTCCGGCTGGCCGGGCCTAACGGTTAAGGCAGTTAACCGGTAAGACTATGCTTACCGGTTAACCTTTTACATCCCTAATCTCCAGTATGCCCACTGAAACTGGATCTACCTGGGGCCAACTCAATAAGCCACATAAGAATTTCAGCTAGCATAGCACTCAGAAGGCCTAATCAGAGATGACCATTCCCAACACATTACACCAACATGCCATGAACCACACTTGTGCTGCAACCATTTCAAGGTTATTGTCCTTGGGATAGCCCGTTTGGGACTTTGAAGATGAGGACTATACCACATTGCAGTGTTCAGGAGGGATGCTCTGACAAAAAGCCAGATATCTACTTGTGAGAGCAAGGGACAGGTCATTATCACTGAAAGTTGCTTGAATACAGAATAGACTTCTGTAGGATATCAGCTTGATCCCAAATACCATTACTTTTAGAGAATGTTTCAATACCTACCTATTATAAAGCTCTTTTCATTGGCAGATCTCAAAGTACTTTATAAAAAGGTTGGTATCATTATCCCTATTTTACAGATGGGAAACTGAGGTATAGAGAGCTGAAGTGACTTGCCCAAGGTCACTCAGGCGGTCAGTGGCAGAGGCAAGAAACAAACCTGGGTGTCTACTGAGTCCCAGTCCTGTGTTCTATCCACCAAGCAACATTGCTCTAAACTAGTTTAAGCTAGATTTCTCCTAAACCATCATATTGTAAAGACAACTGGTAATGGCAGGAAAGAAAATCCAGCATCTTGTCATTCTAAGATAACAGAATAAAAGACAAGGATTTCTACCTTTTACCGGTACTGGTGCTCAGATACCAAGAAATGCTCAGATAACATGTCAGGCACAAAAGAAATTTCTGTACACTTTAAACAGACCTTAAAAATGAACTTGAATGGAATACCACAAAGCAACCAACCTTTATGAGTATAAGTTGCCTTGACTTTTATGTCTACTGTTTCATAGTTAAAAGTACACCAGTGTTAAATCTTGCCACAGTGTTTTACTTACATGTAATCTGCCTCGAAGTTCTCGGTCATTCCTCATTTTCACATAGATTCGTTCATCTAGACTGAGTCTGATCAGATCCAGTGGCTCCTCTACAGTATTTGTTGTTTGTTGCTAAAAAAAATAGAAAGCAGTTTTTGCAATATACACAAAAGCCTCTGAACTTTTATGTTCAAAAGCAGTCTCTCTCTCTCTCTCTCTCTCAGGGATAGGATAAAGTACCTTTCACCTTCAGGTCAGTTATTTGATCCAGCCCAAGCTGGTAGCAACCAAAAATCATTACCATAGGACGAGCATTTGGTGGCCTGTATGAAGTTACATGAATTTCAGTCCACACTACCATCACAATTGGTACCCTTTACTGGCAATCTTAGTGGACAGGCCAGAAACCTGAACAGAAAGGGAACCAAATATGCCTTTCACTCTCAAAGTAGAACTCACATGGTCAGGTCTGAGATACTTTGGCAGGGGATGTAGAGAAGTTTACATTGTCACTAACTATACTGTTGTCATTGGTGGACAATTATTATTTGTATTATTGTAGCACCTAGCAGCCCTAGTCACGGACCAGAACCCCTCTCTGTCCTAAGCATTGTTCAAACAGAACAAAATGTTGGTCCTTGTCCCAAAGAGATAATGCATTGGGGTCTCCGGGGTAAGTGTCCTGTATTTTATATTCCTTCACAAATATTCCTTCAGCTTCACTTTCAACAAAACAAACTGCAATAAAAATAGGAAACATAAAGCCATGCATCTCTTAAGCTTGATAATAGCACTGACAATATTAAGGTTCCAGGAGACTTAAAACAGCACTGAAATGGCACTAAGACCACAAGGAACAATTCAAGTTAGATTTTTATTTTTTAATAAAGCAAAGATCATAGTAAAGACTGAAACAAAGGAAAAAGTTTTGATGTAAAATGCAGTAGTGAGAGGTTAAAGATTTGCTGATCCATAAGGAACATGCAGTCTGCCTCACGTCAAAGGCTGCAGCTTTCTGCAATTTTTTTGTCATGACTCCACTCTGTCATAGAATCATAGAAAATTAGGGTTGGAAGAAACCTCAGGAGGTCATCTAGTCCAACCCCCTGCTCAAAGCAGGACCAATCCCAACTAAATCATCCCAGCCAGGGCTGTGTCAACCCGGGCTTTAAAAACCTCTATGGATGGAGATTCCACCACCTCCCTAGGTAACCCATTCCAGTGCTTCACCACCCTCCTAGTGAAATAGTTTTTCTTAATATCCAATCTAGACCTCCCCCACTGCAACTTGAGACCACTGTTTCTTGTTCTGTCATCTGCCACCACTGAGAACAGCCTAGCTCCATCCTCTCTGGAACCCCCCTTCATGTAGTTGAAGGCTACTGTCCTTTTCCTGCTCTGCCTTAGCTTACTAACCCAGGGAAAAGGAAGCATCTCGTGTCACTCTTGAGCAAGCCCCTCTGGCTGAGCTAGGACTGAGGAGTGGTGGAGGCATGCTCTGGAGTAGTGGTCACCAATCTCCCAGTCGATTGCCATCTCCGGTTACAGCGGTCCCCCGTGGACCAGGGGGGCGGTTCTTCCTCCCCACGCTGCTCCTGCATGCAAGCACCACCCCCGAAGCTCCCATTGACTAGGAGCAGGGAGCTATGGCCAATGGGAGCTGCAGGAGTGGTACTTGCAGAGAGGGGCAGCTCACAGAGCCATGTACCCCCCCCCCCCCCCGGGGCATGTTGACCCCTTCCGGGAGTGGCGTGGGTCCAGGATAGGCAGGGAGCCTGCCTTAGCTTCGCTGTGCCACCGACTGGGAGCCACCCAAGGTAAGTGTTGGCTCCGGGAGGCAGGTTGGGGTGTGGCCTCCCACCAGGCAGCACCCCATACCCCCTCCTACACCCCTATCCTCTACCCCAACCTGACCCTCTCAGAGCCAGCACCCCACACCCCCTCAGGAACCCCAACACTCCACCCTAGCCCAGAGCCCCCTCCCACACTGCAAACCCCTCAGCCCAGAGCCCGCACCCAAACCCCTGCCCCAGCCTGGTGAAAGTGACTGAGGGTAGGGGAGAGCGAGCGAGGGAGAAAGGGGGGGATGGAGTGAGCGGGACAGGGCTTTGGGGAAGGGGCGGGGTAGATCCTGGGTTGCCCCTAAATTCAAAAAGCGATTTGGGGCACAAGAAGGTTGGAGACCACTGCTCTGGAGGGAGCTGTATCCAGCGTTTCTTTGCTGGAGGGCCTCCGTTCAGTTAGACAGTGAGCGTCTGAGGCAAGCTGGGGCGGGCTGAGACAGGGGACACTGGGGAGAGTAAATAGTGAGGGACCCCTAGGGAGCCCCCCCGTGAGCCCCATTCATTAACCATCCCGGCACTGTCTGAGGAGGGGAGAAGCTGAGTAAGAGAGGGGGCCGATAGCTATCCGTCCAGGCGGGAGGGCGACCCCGCTGCGGGGAGGGATCCCCAGGAGAGGGGACCCAGCCCCTGGAGGAAGGGGGGGGAGCCTCGCTCGACCCCGCACAAGGGCCCAGGCTGGGAAGGGGGCGGGCCCCAAACGTGGCTCCCGCCAAACAGTAAGACAGGGGCGAGTCGCTCACCTGGTCCACTTCGTCCGCCATCTTTCAAACGCGAGCCCCGCCTCCTCTCGCGCGAATCCGCCGCCCCTCGGGGAGCCGCCAGGAGCGCAGGCGAGTCGGCGCGAAGGAACGGAGGGTGGTGACGACACCCATTGCGTGAGGGAGAGGGCGTGGCTCGGTCTCCAAGCGAGGCTAGAGTGGCAGTTGCGCCGTTGGTCGGCCCAGGCTGGCAGAGGCGGGGCCTGGCGGGCGGGGCGGAGCAGGCGCTGTCTGTGCCCCACAGGCAGGGCGGGGGCGAGAGGAGCTAGGGGTGGGCCCGGGCTTGTGCTAGGTGGCTCCCCCCTCACCCGTTGTTCTGCCCTAGACGCTGTGGCTCAGTTTCCCCGCTCCCGTCACAGGGGGATGGGCAGGGTGAGCGCTGGCTCCCAGAGGGCGTGGCGAAGACCCACGTTACAGATGGGCAAACTGAGGCACTGCCGGCACAAACAGCTCTCGCTCCCGTTTTGCTACTTTGGGTGTACTGAGCAGGCTCACTCGAACTGAGCATGCCCAGTAACCTTAGTTGTAGCCACTGCCCTCTCTCTGCCCTTACTTCTGCTTACGATTTGCTGCCTCCTCTTTGG